CAATACCTGACCCGATTTGGAGGCAATTTCGACTTCTCGGAGATCCTCCCACCTACCATATCTGGCACCAGGGCCCGACTGGGGAACTTGGAGGACTGCGCTCCTGGACCCGACAAGCTTCCATGCGCTGCATGGCGCTTTGCACCTCAGGCAGCGGAGCTGCTTGATGAATACCTTTGGTGGATCCTGGCTGGGAACTCTCTGCCCCCGAGCTTTAACGATATGTTGGGCATTTTCATACCTAAGGGAGAGGAGGAAGGGGATGCAGGAGGAGCCACCCGCGACGTTCAGTCGCTCCGCCCGCCCGGCCTGAAGAATCCGGAGAATCAGATTCTCGCCAGCCTCGTGGTGCGCCCGTTCTCGGTCAAGATGGCCGAAGTCAGTTGTCGGCTCCAGAGAGGCTTCACGATTGGCAGACAATTCGGGGAGAACATTATCGAAATCGACACCTACGCTCGACTCGCTTCGATGTCAGAACACGCCGAAACCAACCTCCCCGCCATCGTCTCGTACGATTTCGCCCAGGCCTTCCCCTCCGTGGCGCACTCCTGGATGCACAAAGTTCTGAAGAAAATGAATCTCCCTGGTCCACTCGAGTGGTTCTTCTGGATCCTCTATCAGAATGTCCACTGCTTTGGGCCCCTCGGCGGAGCTACCGTGTGGCTCTTTACTATCTGGTCTGGTATCATTCAGGGATGCCCTGCTAGCGGTGCTCTGTTCGCTGCGAGTTTGAATCCGTTCCTGCTGGACTTCGAACGGAGTTTCGTTGGCCTGTCGCGGGGTGTGATCCTCGCTTGCGCTGGTGACATCGGCGGGGTGATCATGCGACTGAAGTGCCTGGCCGCCCTCTTCCGAATCTTCAGCTGGGCCCAGCGGCTGGCCGCGCTCATTCTGAAAACGTGCAAATGCTTCATCACCCCGCTGAGTGGCCCGTTCAGTGAGGAGCTAGCTACCGCGCACCGTCGCGCTCTGGAGGAGTTCGTTCCGCCCTGGGCTGATTTTCTGGTTGTTCCGAACCTGAAGTACCTGGGGATGTGGGTGGGCCCGAACTCGTTTGACAAATCGTGGGCGGGGCCCCTTGGGAAATGGAGAGGAAGAGGACACCTTCTAGCTGGAGCTAACATGCCAACCGCTCTTGCTACAGTTCTTTATAACAACAGATGTGCGACGGTACCGACGTATGTGGCACAGTTTCTACCTCCCCCCCGTGAAGTTATTGGGACAGGAGGTGGCGATGCTTGCCCGTGTCTTCCACTTCTCGCATTGCGCTCCCAGTCGAGCTGGATGGTTTGGGATGTGCAAATGGGGGGGGGGGGGGGGGGGGGGGGGGGGGTTGGGGGGGGGGGCGGGGGGGGGGGGGGG